ATCAGGAGCATCACAACGCACTGGGAGTGATCCTACAGGTGAGGGTGATGGGAATTTGGACTCCAGAGGGTGGGAGGGAGTGAGCCCTCTCTCCATTTTCCCCACTTGGCCAGGGCAGGTTGCATCACCACAGGGTCCTCATTTTCCCCTCTTGCCCTCCTTTTCACCCTCTCCCTTCCCATCACCACATCATGCTCACTCCTTCCTCCCACAACCCCAAGAAGTCTGCTCTGATCGCTTGACTTGGTCGCCCCTCTCTACTGGTGAGCTCTGCATGGTTGCTTCCTGATTCCTGCCCAAGGGTGGGTATCTGGTCCCTACCTTTGATGTCTACTCCTCACACCCCGCTCTCCTGGCCTCTCTGACCACCCCCAGGTCTCCTCGAACTCCACCAGCAGAGTATTCACAACCCTGGTCTTGTGTGATAAGCCCTTGTCCCAGGACCCACAGGACAGGGGGCCAGCCACTCCAGAGGTGCCCTATCCAGATGACCTCGTGGGATTCAAGCTGTTCCTGCCTGAAGGTGAGAGTGCGGCAGATGCCTGTTTTCTGCCAGCAGTATAAGCAGGATGCCTTGGTCCAGGGCAAGGTCTGCCCTGCTCTCCCTTTTTCACAGGGCCTTGTGAGCACACCGTGGTCAAGCTCCAGCCAGGAGATATGGCTGCCATCACCACCAAAGTGCTCCGGGTGAATGGGGAGAAGATCTTGGAGGACTTCAGCAAGAGGCAGCAGCCAAAATTCAAGTCAGAGATGCTAGGGAGGCCCTTTTCCTCCAGAGGGGCATGTAGAAGTGGGGAGGGGCAGTGGTCTGGGAGTTTTCCCCAGCCTGAGGGAGACCATGAACTGGTGGGGTTGTAGTGAGGGGGCTCCTCCAGCCTAAGGGAGACTGTGAAGTGGGGGTTGTAGTAAGAGGGCTCCCACAGCCTGAGGGGGGCTTCTGTGGGAGAGAAGATCTCACCCCAGATCTTAAGATCTGCTCCCTCTTCAGGAAGGATCCTCCCCTTGCGGCCGTGACCACTGCTGTCCAGGAACTACTGCGTCTGGCTCAGGCTCACCCAGCCGGACCCCCCACCCTCGACCCTGTCAATGACCTGCAGCTCAAAGACGTGTCGGTTGTAGAGGGTGGGCTCCGGGCCCGGAAGCTGGAGGAGCTGATCCGGGGGGCTCAGTGTGTACACAGCCCCCGTTTTCCTGCCCAGGTAGGACCCTGGGTGCTAACTCCTGAGCTGGGAGTAGGGGCTTTTCCTCTGTGGTTCCCTGTAGACCGACCACCCCCATCTCAGCCCTTGTCTTCAGTCTACCCCTGCTAAGGGGCAAGGAGAAGGCTGACGGGTGGCTCTCTGCAGTACCTGAAGCTACGGGAGCGAATGCAGATACAGAAGGAGATAGAGCGGCTGCGCTTCCTACTGTCAGATCAGTCACTGCTGCTGCTTCCTGAGTACCACCAGCGAGTAGAGGTGGGCGGGGCAGTGGTTGGGGCAGGGAGGCTAGGGGATAGCAGGGTGTCCAATGCCCACTCTTTTTCTTGCAGGTGCTCCGAACCCTGGGTTACGTGGACGAGGCAGGCACCGTGAAGCTGGCAGGGCGGGTGGCTTGTGCCATGAGCAGCCATGAGTTGCTCCTCACTGAGCTCATGTTTGACAATGCACTAAGTACCCTGCGGCCTGAGGAGATTGCTGCCTTGCTCTCTGGCCTGGTCTGCCAGAGCCCTGGGGACGCTGGAGATCAGCTCCCAAACACCCTCAAGCAGGTAGGGGATATCACTCCTTTCTCCCTGCCAGGGCTGTGGCATTCCTGACCTCCACCCTCAGGAAGTCCCCCAAGTGACCCCCTGCTGCCCTGTAAGTGCCCCGAGGATGGGAATGGCTGCCTCCTTGATCTGGTCCTTCCCTCTCCTGGAGCAGGAAGGCAGGCCTTAATCGCTCCTTCTTCCCTGCAGGGAATAGAACGTGTCCGGGCTGTGGCCAAGCGGATTGGTGAGGTCCAGGTGGCTTGTGGCCTGAACCAAACGGTGGAGGAATTTGTGGGCGAGCTGAATTTTGGGCTGGTCGAGGTTGTGTATGAGTGGGCCCGGGGCATGGTGAGTACCTGAGGTTTGGGATTTTGCAGACGGCTGACTGAGGTGAGCCTGCCCAGGGTGAGCACATCCAATTCTCACCCTACTTTCCCCACAGCCCTTCTCCGAGTTGGCAGGGCTCTCAGGGACCCCCGAGGGCCTGGTGGTCCGCTGCATTCAGCGCCTGGCTGAGATGTGTCGCTCACTGCGGGGGGCAGCCCGCCTAGTAGGAGAGCCTGTGCTGGGCGCCAAGATGGAGACAGCGGCTACTTTGCTACGGCGGGACATCGTATTTGCGGCCAGCCTCTACACCCAGTGAATGCCCCATGTAAAAATGTGATGATAAAACAGCAAACCACTGTGTGTGCTTGAGTTGTTGGGCAGGGATGACTCAGCTAAGAAGATAGCAGAACCTCTTAGAAATATGCTTTTATTATCTGCACACAGAGATATGACTGCCCCCCTCTAAACATCACTATTTGGGGGAGGGAGTCTTGGGGGGTGATGGGAAGTCCTGAGTCATGGCTTCCACGTACCATATAGGCAGGAAGGCATAGGGTGCATCTCGGTGTACAGACACGGTGACTGGGCCACCAGGCTCCCAAGAGAAGAGGTGAACGAGCCTGGGGGGCAGATGGAGGAATCAGTTGAGGACCAGAGGCTGGATCCTGGGATCCAGAGAGGATGGACAGAGCCGAATGCCTCACCTGGGGTCATCCTGGACAACCGTGCTCTGGGCAAAGCTAAGGAAGGCGGCACAGAAGTTCATGCACACAGAGGGATTCCAGCCGTCACGGTCATTCTGGAGCAGGCAGAGGAGGCAGAAGATTGGCAGTGGGGGTGGTGGGACGAGGGGAAGGCAGGCTGCTGCCCTGGACGCTAGACCTGTGGTCTTGGTGTTTGGGGATGCGGGTGGGAGCTGCAGCATCATTCCCTTACCCTGACATAGTCAAACATCTTCATGGTAGGAAAGGTCTTGAGGGAAGAGACAAAACCCTCTGGGTTACGGAAGCCAGCAACAACATTCGGGACACCTGGGAGGAATGACTGAGCCCACCATTTCAGGAGCTTGTGTCTGTCAGGAAAAGCAAGGGGTCAGTGGGACCCCTCGTCCACCCTCCATTCTGCCTTCACCCTCCTCCCAAGTCCCTTTCCCAGCCTTCAAGTCTAAGCTCTCGCCCTGCCCACCCCTATCCTGAACCTGTAGAAGCTCCTCCATTGGCCAGGGCTGTGCATCTCTTTGGAGGTCTTGAGCTCCACATAGCAGGTGGGGGGCTGTGTGGATGGGGTCTGGGGGTCTGTGCAGTCTACCTCCCCTGAGAAGAGCAGAGGGTGGCTTCCCAGGCGGCTGCGTAGCACAGAGCAGAAGGCCACGTTGGTGTTAACCTCCCCAGAGGGGTCTGGGGAGCTTCCAGGTTTGTCTGCACAAGGAGAGAAGCAGCAGCAGGGGTGGGGGGGCTCTCAATCTCTGGGAAGGGGAAGGGGGCTTTGAAGCAGGGGCAACTCACCTGCACACATATACTGCTCAAATTTGTATCCCATGTACATAAGCTCCCGGAGGAGCGGTGGCCGAGCAAGCCTCTGGGCCCGGGCTTTCGGCGTCTCCACCTCACTCAGGTATAGTGTTCCCTGGAACCGAGAGGCTGCCAGCTGCCAACCCTCCTGCCGCTCATACGGTGTCGTCAGCAATTTTGTCAGGTGCCCCCGCCATGTCACTATGGCCTCTGCCAGCCAGCCTGGACCCCTGAGAGGCAGGAGTTACAGGCTGAAGGTCTGACACAAGCATTAGTGAGATGCTCCCCTCGAAGAATAGTCTGTTTCTTCTAAGGACTGATTCTCACCCCGGCTGTGGCTCTCCTAATTTTAGAGGGTAGGTACGGGTCTCCAGATATACTGCCTGCCACGCTTTGCTCACCCCTCCAACCGGCCTCGGTGTTCCAGGAGCCAGCATAGCAGGTGGTCCAGCCTTTCTTGGACCTCCTCGTCCCGGGGCTGGTATCGATCCGGGTATCCGTCTCTGAGGTCAAAGTTGGGGCCTGGACCGTTAGTGGGGGGTGGGCTATAGTAGCGCAGGGCTCGGGCATCTCCATGGTACTGGCGTTGAGCATCCAGGGAGAAGCAGCCCAGTTCCGAAGGGCGCCGGTAGAAAGGAAAGGGCCCAGAGTAGAGGGCAGGGTCTGTGGGTAGAGAAGGTGCCGGACGGGGTAGTTTGTTCCGAGGCTCAGCTACCTCTGTCTTCTCAGCTCCTCTCTTGGTCCCCCTGGGATCCATGAGGTCCTAAGGGAAGAGGGGGACAGAGTTTCCATTTTACAGAGGAGGCCTGGAGAAGGATGACTGGTTTAGGACTAAGCGAGCCACCTGATCGCCAGGTTCTGGCCTTGAAACATTCAGGCCCCTCAGATGCCACCGCGGCCAAGCTCTCATCCTGCCTCTTTCCTTGCCCTTCACCCACCCTCCCTCCAGGTCCTCCAAATGCAGTGAGATTAGGAAGGACGCCTGCGCTCAGATCAAGAATCCAGTTACCTCAAAGCTCCCCAACTTCCACCTCCGCAGGGCTATGACGTCATGGCAGGCACACCAGAGGCCGAAGGATGCAAAAGTGGTTTTTCTGCTTTCGATGATGCAATCATTCAGCGACAGTGGCGGGCAAACCCCTCCTGGAGCCGGGGAGGTGTGAGCTTTACGAAGGAGATTGATTCCAACGTGGCCACCGGCGCCCCTCCACGCCGCCCACGAGTCCCCCGGCGTGCGTGCCCTTGGAGGGAGCCAATCCGCGGTCGGCTTGGGGCCCGGCCGGGCGGACGTGGTGCGGGTATCTGCGTCGCCACCGCCCCTCCCAACACTGACTGGCCTGAGGGATGACAAGTTGACGCCCTTTTCGTCATCACCTAGTCTAGGAGGGACGCCCGGGGAGACCGTGCGTCACTGTTCTGCGCCGGAAGACCCTATTTTCAGGTTCTCTTCCCTCCATTACTACCTCTTCCCCGGTACCATAAAATCCCGGGATATGAGCCGAAAGAGGCATCAGCTGGTCCCTGAGACCTTTGGCGTTAAGAGGCGGCGGAAGCCAGGGCTTGTGGAGTCGGATCCTCTTCTGGGTGAGCCAGGTAACCATGGCAACCCCGGGGCGGGGCTAAAGACCCCAGCTGGGTGGGGCCTCGCTTCCGGTAGCCTAGAGTTTTGTTGGAACCGCGTCCCCGCCCCAGTTCCCTGTCTCTGACCCGGTGTCTCGGTCCAGGGTCGGCGCGCGCGGCTGTCTCAGAGCTCATGCAGCTGTTCCCGCGAGGTCTGTTTGAGGACGCTCTGCCGCCCATCGTGCTGAGGAGCCAGGTGTACAGCCTCGTGCCTGACAGGACCGTGGCCGACCGGCAGCTGGTGAGGGGCGTCGGTGCGACCGCCGGAAGTCCCTTTCCTGACTCCTAAAATTTCCTGTCCCTCAGTCACTCTGCCAGCTGTTCAGCAAGCATTAGGCCTTTCAGGGGAGGGCACTGTTCCGGGCACTGGGGTGCCACAGGGACCCTGTTAAATGGGCCGCAGGCAGTACAGGGCATTTCAGTCATGGAGGGAGAAGAACGAGGCTTTTGGGGAAACCGAGTCATGGGGCATGGTTCGAACATAGAGCACTGGGAGTGCAGACAGACGTCAGATCATGACAGGCCTTGTACATCAGTGTTGTTTCCATCTTACACTGAGGCGATGGGCTGGTAGAGAATGTCATAGAGAGAGGGAATGGTGTATTGGAGGTAGTGGATGAGGCAGGGAGGTCAACTAAGAAGATACTGCATCTGAGAAGTGGTGAAGGCCTAAATTAGGTCAGTGCAGTACAGAGGGAGAGGAGAGTGAGAAAGGGGGGAGTCCAGGACAACTCAGACTTTCCAGATGACTGCGTGGCTGGTGGTATTAGGAGCACATTTAGTTGTTGGACTACGGATAATGTGTTTAATTTTGTACAAGTTGAGTTGATGGTGCATGTGGAGCATCCAAAGACAAACGTATTAGACAAGTGGATATTAGAGTTGGAGAGAATTCTGGGCCAGTGATAATAGAATTACAAGTCATGGAGGTGTGAATAGCAAGTGGTTAATTCTGTGGATGTGGTGAGATCCAGTAGGAAGAGTGGGTAGAGGAGTGATTTCTAACCTTTTTATAATCTTTAGAAGGTGATAAAAGCTATGGCTATTTCTCTCCAGAAAAATGCACGTATGCCACATATACATAGGATGTATGTACAGTTAGGTGGGAAATACTTCACTAATCTTCTGAGGTCCATGGTTAAGGACTCCAAGTTTAGAGTGGAAGTTCATAGGGTCAAATCCACAATGCTGGGAAACACTGTCATTTAAGGCAGTGTTACTGAATGTATGAGCTGAGTTATGCCTGTGTCAAAATTACATGGGCTGTTTATTTAAAAAATACAGGTTCCTGGGACTCATCCAAGGTTAATGAGTTACAATCTCTTGGGGTGGGATTTGGGACTCTACACTTTTGAACTGCCTCAAGTCTTTTTTAAGTGTGCCTTAAAATTTGAGATCCACTGACATAAAGGGAAAGCAGAAGAAGAGGAATCTGTGGCAGAGGCAGAGAAGGAATTGCCTGAGTTAAGAGGAACCCAGAGGCCGGGGCGGTGGCTCACGCCTGTAATCCCAGCACTTTGGGAGGCCGAGGTGAGTGGATCTCTTGAGCTCATGAGTTTGAGACCAGCATGGGCAACATGACAAAACCCCATCTCTACAAAAAAATACAAAAATTAGCCAGGCGTGGTAGTACGTGCCTGGGGAGGCTGAAGTGGGAGGATTGCTTCAGCTGGGGAAGTGGAGATTGCAGTGAGCTGAGATAGCACCACTGCACCCCAGCCTGGGTGATAGAGCTAGACCTTGTCTCAAAAAAAAAAAAAAAAAAAGTAACCCAGGAAGAGGCCTATTGTAAAAGTAAAGAGATTTTTGAGAAAGTGAAGTAGTTGGCAGTATTAGAACCTGTGATTCAAGACAGTGGTCTAAGAAGAGGGAAGAGGTAAAGTAAAATATAAACTAAAATCTAGGCTGAGTGTGGTGGCTCATGCCTGTAATCCCACCACTTTGGGAGACTGAGGCAGGAGTATAGCTTGAAACCAAAAGTTTGAGACCAGCCTGAGCAACAAAGTGAGACCCCATGTTTACTAAATAACTGAGACCCCATCTCTACTAAATAAATAAAATAAATTGAAACACAAAAATTCTTAGCTGGGCATGGTGGTATGCACCTGTTGTTCTAGCTGTTTAGAAAGTTGAGGCAGAAGGATTGCTTGAGCCCAAGAATTTGAGGCTGTAGTGAGCTATGATTGCACGACTGCACTTCAGCCTGGGTGACAGAGTGAGACCCTGTCTCTAAAAAAAAATGAAAACAACAAAAAAAACCCAGAACTGAAATCTGTCCATTGGATTTAGCAGGTAGAAGGTCAATAGTGATCTTTCAAGAAAAGAGGGAAGAAAAGGAAGGCAGTCTGGCTGTCCCTTGAGGTGAGCTAGTCTCCCTCACTATGTGTCCTGTGAGGAAGCATGCCAGATGGAACCACTCCTTAAGAAGTATTTGTTGTTTTTAATATATTGATGTTAGCTTTTATTTTTAAAAAACCTTTAAAAGTTGCCGAATGAAAATATAAACATATATAATTTAAATGATGTTTATAAAGCAGATACCCATCTAGCTACTCCCTAGGTCAAACTATAGAACATGGCCAGTATCCCACATATATTCCTCTCTGATCAAAATGTCTCTGATTAGAGTGTCCCTGGGAGGTGACTGCTGTGGTCATTGTTCCCTCGGTTTTCCTTTTTTTTTTTTTTTTGAGGTGGAGTCTCATTCTGTTGCCCAGGCTGAAGTGCAGTGGCACGATCTCAACTCACTGCAACCTCTGCCTTCCAGGTTCAAGCACTTCTCCTGCCTCACCCTCCCGAGTAGCTGGGACTACAGGCACATGTCACCACGCCCAGCTAATTTTGGTATTTTTAGTAAAGACAGGGTTTCATCATGATGGCCATGATGGTCTCGATCTCCTGACCTCTTGATCCGCCCCCCCTTGGCCTCCCATAGTGCTGGGATTACAGGCATAAGCCACTGCGCCTGGCCACATTTTGTATTTTTAATAGGTATGGGATTTCACTATGTTGGCCAGGCTGGTCTCAAACTCCTGACCTTAAATGATCTGCCTGCCTCGGCCTCCCAAAATGCCATTTTTTTTGTTGTTTGTTTGTTTGTCTTTTTGATAAATCCACTATTATTTGTCTTTTGGGGTTTGTTTTTATTGTCTCTTTGAGTTTTGTTTCCTTATGCACCCAGTTACTTTTGAAAATGTTCTGGGCAGATTTGCCTAGATTAATAAATGCACTCCATGTTCCAATTACTTTTTTTTTTGAGACAGTGTCTCACCCTGTCACCCAAGCTGGAGTGCAGTGGCATGATCTTGGCTCACTGCAACCTCCGCCTCCCGAGTGCAAGTGATTCTCCTGCCTCAGCCTCCCAAGTAGCTGGCGTTACAGGCACCTGACACCACACCCAGCTAAGTTTTGTATTTTTCATGGAGACTGGGTTTCATCATGTTGGCCAGGCTGGTCTTGAACTTCTGACCTCAAGTGATCACCCTTAGCCTCCCAAAGTGCTGGGATTACAGGCATGAGCTACTGTGCCCGGCCCCAGTTATTTTTATTTTTATTTTTTGAGATGGGGTCTCATTCTGTCATCCAGGCTGGAGTGCCGTGGCATGATCTTGGCTCACAGCAACTTTCTGGGTTCAAGCAATTCTCCTGTCTCAGCCTCCCAAGTAGCTGGGACTACACGTGCACACCACCACGCCCAGCTAATTTTTGTATTTTTAGTAGGGTTTTACCATATTGGTCAGGCTGATACTGAACTCCTGACCTCAGGTGATCCACCCCCACTCAGCCTCCCAAAGTGCTGGGATTACAGGTGTGAGCCATCTCACCCGGCCTACTTAGATGTTATATTAGTGGTAATTCCTGTTATCTTGTGAGCTCTTTAGTGTCTAAACAATTTTTTTTAAGAGACAGAGTCTCACTGTGTTGCCCAGTTGCAATCCTAGCTTACTGCAGCCTCAAACTCCTGGGTCAGGTGATCCTCTTGCCTCAATCTGCCAAGTAGCTAGGACTACAGGTCTCTGCCACCACGCCTGGCTAAGTTTTTACATTTTTTGTAGAGATGGGGGTTTCACTGTGTTGCCCAGACTGATCTTGAACTCCTGTCCTCAATTGATCCTGCTACCTCAGCCTCCCAAAATGCTGGATTACAGGCATGAACCACTGTACCTGGTCTTAAACAATTTTTAAATAACATTTTAGTTAAATTTCCAACAGGTGTATTAGTTCTTGCTGTATTCTCATAAACAGAAGTCCTGGTTCATTTTTATTTGTTTTAAACATTGAATCCCATACTCCTCCCCACCTTACCCCACCCAGAATTTTCCTGTTAATGTTTTGAAGCCAGAGCCTGCATCTTAATCATTATTTTATCTTAGTGCCTGGTCTTAGAAAATTATATTGACTGTTTGACAGACCATAGATAAGGCAGGTGGATGAGAGAGTGGGTAGCTAGTTGGAAAAGGCTGCTTGGTCATTTACCTGATTATCTTCTCACACAGTTTTTTCTTTACTAAGATAAATTTGCCCCAATATTGGCAAAATCTCTCTGCCTGAGAGTGCCCAGAGTATAGCAGAGCATCTTACCCTGATACCCCTCTTTTCACTCTCTTCTCTGTGGAGACAGAAGGAGCTTCAAGAGCAGGGGGAGATCAGAATCGTCCAGCTGGGCTTCGACTTGGATGCCCATGGAATTATCTTCACTGAGGACTACAGGACCAGAGTATGTGACTATGTGTGTCAGGGGTGCCAGGGGCAGGGAACAGGTTGGGGGAGATAGGGAAGTTGGGAAACAGAAATAAAAACAAAAGAAAGAATTTCTCTGCCCCCACATCCCATGGAGAGGGCACAGGGCCCTGGTAAGTAGTAATATGAGGGAGAGAGACAGGAGGGAAAGAGGGAGGAGCGAGAGGGTAAAGAGTGGGGAGAGGAGGGAGAGGAGGAGGAGGAGGAGGAGGAGGAGGAGGAAGGGTATGAGAGGTGGAAGGATCTGAGCAAGAGGTAAGACAGGAAGAGAAATGCTGTCCTAGGGGTGGAGAGGTTGGTGGAGAGTGAGGGTGGGGACGGACCATGCATCTCATCTCTGCTTCTAGGTCCTCAAGGCCTGTGATGGCCGACCGTATGCTGGGGCAGTGCAGAAATTTCTAGCTTCAGTACTTCCAGCCTGTGGGGACCTTAGTTTCCAGCAGGACCAAATGACACAGACCTTTGGCTTCAGGGACTCAGAAATCACGTGAGACTTGTGGAACCAACAAAGTCAGGCATCTGACGCCTCCCTGGCTCCCTCCAGTTCCATGCAGCCTGTCCTTTTGCTTTTTTGGTGAACCTGCCAGCAAAGCTGCCAAAAGGCTGACTCTTCTTTTTAATAAAATGACCCAAGTTTTTATTCCTCCCCACAAGAGAGGAGACCTATCTTACCTGGGGCCTTAGAAAGAGCCCTGGAATAGAATTCAGTCCTTGGTGGCTTATCAAAAGCATGCAGGGGCCTGGCAGGAACCGTAAAAGCTTGATGTTAATTATACTAGGACTAAGAGGATAGAGAATGATAGCAGTTGGGATACCCCTAAACATTCACTTTAAAACAAAAAAACCCCAAAGCTAAAAAACAACTGGGCAGGCGCTAAAGAAAAATATAATTTTGAAAGGCTCTATCTGGCTCAGGCCTCCTACTTTGTAACACATGGAATATGTGAAAGTATTTGAAGAGCTGTAGCACCGGTCTCACATGGGCAGACACACTCTCAGATGTGGTGGGAGCCTTGGCGTGGTCTGCCTAGGTAGTGGCAGGAGCGCAGAAGACCCTGATTCCTCTCCTCAGTCCTGAGACTGAATGTGTGTCAGGACGTGTGGTCAGGGAAGAGAAGCTATTTAAATGAATGAGTAATAGTAGCAGGAAAAGAGAGTGGAGGGAGGGCAGTCCACGTAGGGGTCCTAGAACAAGCAACTGCACCAACAGAGGCAGTTAGTGCAAGCACACAACCACCCCAGGTTGGGGTGTTGTTATCTACTTTCTCTTGCGTGGTTGCCCATGTTTTTCGAGACTTGTGTAAATATTAATGGATGAGGAGGAGAGGTTGTTCTCAGAGCCCAGACCTCATCTCTGCTGGCTTCCCACTGCCCTCAGGCATCTGGTGAACGCCGGAGTCCTCACCGTCCGAGATGCTGGGAGCTGGTGGCTAGCTGTGCCTGGAGCTGGGAGATTCATCAAGTACTTTGTTAAAGGTATCCCATCTGCAGCTCAGGCCTGCAGTTCAGGCCTGCAGCCCCTCACCTTTTGGTGACTCTTCAGGCCTCTACGCCTTATTCACCTTTCCCTTCTCCTTTGTCACTTCTCCAGGGCGCCAGGCTGTCCTTGGCATGGTCCGGAAGTCCAAGTATCGGGAGCTGCTCCTATCAGAGCTCCTGGGCCGGCGGGCTCCTGCCGT